GACTTCAAAAGTAAATATCTCCCCTTTTCAAAGTCACCTACTACAAAACAACTCTCTTCCCCAATCCCTCCCTCCCTCCTTCTCCAAGTCATAATGGAAATTGTTAAGAGTTTCAAAGATAGGTGTTGACTTTTACAGATAAGCATTGAAAGCAAAGCTAAGTCAGGTGTAAAGTAAAACATTTAATTTGTCCGTGGCTGAGAACAATTAGCTCAGAATATTTATTAAATTCTTTCTTGAATAAGGGATTCCTTAATCTGAGCCAAGAATTAGAACTGGTAGTTTCGTGGCAAGTATGAGACACAAACATCTTTTAGTAACAAGCCCTATGGAGGAAAAGAGGGAAGTGCATTCAGCAGAGGAAGTAAAGAAATGGTATATGCTATTCTGATTATGTTATGTGTGTCTAGATCGTTTGATTTGAATTAAGACCTAAGAAGATAAAATTCTGTAACTGGTTTAGAATTCTGAGGTGGAAACATCCTGGAACCGTGGTATTTGATAAATTCTATCTCCTGAAAAGGGTTACAGCCCAAGAAAGAGTTATTTCCTAAGTCTGGCCTTTTACTTGGTGAAGCTGAGTTTTAAGGAAAAATAAAACACAATAATTTTAGCCTGGTTTGTTGTCTTTTTTTCCCCTTTAAAATATATTTGTGATTCTTCATTATCCTTATTTTTGGCTACCTATATGTATCAGCAGTGTTCTAGGTGCTACAGATAATCTGAGGAATTCAGGAATTACCCTACATTAGCAAAAGTTATTTTATAATTAGTTTTGAATTAAGTTGAAAAGAGGCAGTGGACGATACATGGACTATACGGTAGAATAAGTAATTAGCTACTTGAGATTTTAGTTTGAATCACACATAAGCTATTTAGCCTTTTTTTTTTTTCTTTAAACAAAGCTCCAAAGATCTGTTATTAGTGTAGCCGCCCACAAAAGCAGGGGGACCAAGTCACAAACACCTTGACTTAATATTAGGCCTATCTTACTTAAAAATTGTGCTTTCCACCATTTACGATAGCATCAACAAGAATAACATTTAGGAATAAACTTAAGAGGCAAAAAATGTGTACACTGAAAACTATAAAACATTGTTTAAAAAAAGTAAAGATACCAATAAATGGAAAGATACCCTGTGTTCATGAATTGAAATACTCGATATTGTTAAGATGTCAATACTACCAAAAGCCATCTATAGAGTCAATGTAATCTCTCTCGAAAAATCCTAATTGTTTTGCAGAAAGACACAGGCTTCCTAAAATTCATATGGACTTAAGCGGCACTCAAATAGCAAAAAAAAAAAAAAAAAAAAAAAAAATCTTGAAAAAGAACAAAGTTGGAAGTCTCACATTTCCTGATTTGAAAACTTAACTACAAAGCTACAGTGATATAAAAATAGAATGATACTGGCATAAAAAGACATAGAGATCAATGGAATAGAATAGAGCCTGACATTAAACCCTCACATGTATGTCCAAATGATTTTTGACAAGAGCGCTAAGACCATTCAATGGGGAAAGGACAGTCTTCAACAAATCATGTTGCAAAAACTGGATATCCACATGCGAAAAAAATGAAGTTGGACCTTTATAACATACAAAAAATTAACTCCAATTGGATCAATGACATGAACATAAGAGCTAGAACTATAAAACTCTTAGAAGAAAACAGATTTGTGGCATTGGATTTAGTAATAGTTTCTTGGATAAGACAACAAATACATAATAGGCAACAAGAAAAAAATAAGTAAGTTGGACTTCATCAAAATTAAAAACTTCTGTGGAGAAAGTGGAACCCCTGTGCACTGTTGTAGCAATGTAAAATAGTGCACCCACTGTGAAAACAGTATTATAGTTCCTAAAGAAATTAAACATGAAATTGCCCCGTAACAGTGATTCCCTTTCTGGGTATATACCCAAAAGAAGTGAAAGCAGGGACTTGAACAGATATTTATACACCCATGTTCACAACAGCATTATTCACAATAGCCATAGGTGAAGCACCCCAAGTGCCCAATGAGCAATGAAGGGATAAACCAAACATAGCAATCCATAACAATGAAATATTCAACCTTGAAAAAGGAAATTGTGACACATACTACATGGATAAAACTTGAGGACTTAATAAGCCAGTCAGAAGGACAAATATGTGATTCCAATTGTATGAGGTACCTAGAGCAATCAAATTCAAAGGCAATGTAGAATGGTGGTTTCTGGGGTTAGAGGGGTGTGGAATGGGTGGAATTTCAGTTTGGGAAGATGAAAAAGTTCTGATGGTGGTAGTGTTTGCACAATCTAAGTGTACTTAATGCCACAAAAATGTACACTTGAAAATGGTCGTTACGTACATTTTACTATATTTAAAAATCATGCTTTCCAGAAGGATACAGAAAGTAATTAGACATGTATGCATATATGGGTTGGCACACAGACATATTGCTGTCTGCTGAGGGGACCCGAAAGCCGACACTCCATGAGTTCATGCTGATACAAAGGATTAAATGAGGGGAGGGGTAAATGGCACATCTCCTATATAGAAAAATTCTAAATAACTTATGTAACTACTGTTCTTTCAAGGAGATGGATTCTAACTCCCCAACTCTCGAATGTGGGCTGTTTAGTAACTTGCTTTAAAAAAAAAAAAAGTATCGAAACAGAAAATAGGAACTTTAGAATAACCTAGCAAACATTGTCTAGGCCAGGTGGTCAAAATTCACATCAGTGACATGTCATGTTGATTTGAGTCCTTGATAAGATGCAATAAGAATGACACCTTTGTGATTTCTCCCGCAAACCTATAACCCCAGCCTAACCATGAGAAAAACCTCAGAAAATCTCAATTGAAGGACATTTTACAAATTACTTGACCAGTAGTCCTTGTCAGTCATTAAAAGCAAAGTCTGAGGTTGAGAGAGGATGACTAAATGTAAAAAGTGGGATCCTGGAGCAAAAAGGATATTAGGGAAAAGCTAATAAAATCTGATTTAAGTGTGGAATTGAGTTAGTGGTAACATACCGACATTAGTTGTGACAAATATACTGTAGCAATGTATGGTACAATAGGGAAATTAGGTGAAATGTATATCCAAGAATTGTTTTTGCAACATTTTTGTATATCTAAAACTATTCTGAAAGTTTAAAGAAATTTGTGCTTTCATACTCAAAAGAACTATAGGTCTGACCTAATAGAACTTGACTGAACTCCCTGAATGCAGTTTATTTCCAAATAGAATCTAAGGATTTTCTCTAGCATGAAGATTTTAAATCAGATTTATAGCTCAGCATAAGGTCCCTTGTTCATTATTTATAGTCAAATTATAAAAACATATGATGAAATTCTTAAAGGGAATTTATTCTGCGAAAGGTGTGGCCTAGTGACTTTGAAGTAGCTCTTGGGGCACTGTCTATGACAGTCTCATTTCAGCTTTGCTCAACAGAAAATGACCAGCCTTTTTATCAAAAAGTAGTCAGTTTTGATTTATAGTAAAAAGTCTTTCAAATAACTTAACCTAATATATTTCCCTAAATGTTCTCCCAGGTCAAATGATTCTTAAGACATTTGTTGGGTTATGGATTGTCAATTACTGAGGTCTTGATTTTAATGCATTATTTGGTTAAGAAATTTTGTAAGCATGTATCAGTCTACCAAATCAGAAATCAAGGGCCTCATGAGCACAATTTCTACACCTACAATAAGACAACCTTTATTCAGCTTATTTTGAAATGTAAAATGAGTTAACAGAACCAGTGTGATCTGTTGTAAGCATTGCTGAGGATGTCACATCCTAAGATTTAATAATTAAGCATGGTAAAGAGAGAGATCTCAGGCTTCCAGTGGGCAGGTAGGTGGAAAAGCTGTGCAAGACTTCAGGCAGCAATACTGCCTTACTATTTTGGGGTGCTGCTTTCTGGCACAATAGTATCACTCACACTCACCTAGATTTATCACAAATAATTTACTCTTGTAAATTAGAGTAGGTTAAAAATTAGCCCGGTAGTATCACTTGTATTTCATCTGCTTTCCTGGAGGGCAAGAAATGGAATTACAGCTAGTCTATTACAAATTGTAAATTAACTGTTTCTCTTTGCTCTTGGTCTTTATTCCCAAACATCATTGTCAAGTGGCAAAAATAAAGGTTGAGAGCTTCTTTATTTCAGTTAGAACCAGGTATGTTTTGGGACAAGTCTTTGAATATACAGTGATGTTTTATCTGTGAGCTTCAAATTTAGTCTGGGTCATTTGAAAAGCTTATTATTAAATGTATCTTGATGATCCTTATTTCACTGAGCCCATCCATATTCTAGAACCTACCTTGGCCATACACCTTCATGCCTTATCAGGTGCTTTCAAAATAATTTCACTGGATGTCTGATTCTGACACAAAACCAAGAAGCCATAAAGAGGAAGATTTAAGAATTCCACCACCCAAAAAGTTCTATCATGATAAGCAGAGATAAACTGGGAAGGAAAGGTACTTAAAGCTAGCTCATTGCAAGAATAAAAGGCTCCTACTAATTAGACGAAGACCAAACACAATAGAAAAGTGTTCAATGACAGGCAAAAAGCAAAATTCAGACTGTAGAAATCTCTGTAGGTTAATCATTTCTTCAACAAATAAGGCAAAAAGAAATGAAAGAGGAAACATATAGATTAAAAGAAATAGGAAACAAGCACTCCAACTTCACTAAAGATTATTTGACCAATAAGCTTATGAAAAAATGCTCAATATCGATTGTCACAGAAAGCAAATTACAACCACAATGGGATACCACTCCACGTAGTATGGCTAAAATTATAGGATGACACCACCAAATGGTGAGGATGTAGACCTACTGGAACTCTCGTATAGTTTGTGGGTGTGTGAAACAGGAAGACCACTTTGAAAAAGGTATGTCAATTTCTAGCAAAATTTAAAATATATCCATCTTACAACTCAGGATATTCCTCTAAATAGTTACCCAAAAGAAATTAAAACATAGTTCCACAAAAAGGCACAAGAGGTTCATAGCAACTTTATTCATAATAGCCAAAAACTGGAAACAGCCAATTGTCCTTCAGTTGTTCTCCTAACAAGTGAAAGGTTAAATAAACTGGAATATCCACAGAATGGAATCCTGCTTGGCAATGAAAAGAAACAAAGGGCTGAAACACATAGATGAATCTCAAAATATGCCAAGTTAAAGAAATTTACAGAAGAATACATACTGTATGATTCCAGTTAAATGAAGTTCTAGAATAGGCCAAACTAATCTATGGTGAAAACAAAATTCTAACAGGGAGAAAGGATAGGAGAGATGTAGGAATTGACTGAGTAAACAAACTTTCTAATGAGATGGAAACATTCCATTGTTTCCCAGGGGTTTGGGTTACAAGTTGTACATCACATTCATCAAATGGTACATTTAACATTTGTTCACTTCACTGTAAATTTTACAAGAAAAAATTCTTTAACAATATGTATGCCAAAAAGCTTACAAGTATAAACATTTACAACTTTCTTTGACACCCATTGAAAAAAAAAAAAAAAGAGATTGATGGATGCAGAGGTAATGATAAAGAAAATATGGCAAAATGCGACTTGTAGAATCAAGGTGAGAGGTATAGCCATGTTGATAATTGAACTTTTATGTATGTTTCAAATTTATGTTTTAAAAAATAATGCAGAGGGGAAAAGGTGCAGTCACGAACTGCAATGCATGGACTATTGTTTAGATCCTGATTGAAATATTCTTTTTTAAAAATGACATTTCAGATAGATATTTGGTGATAAAAATATTAGTGTTTTTAGGAATTATATTTTTTTAAAAATCCTTTTTTAAAAGATATGTATACTGAAATACATACAGGTAAATGTCCTGGGTTTGCTTTAAAATTAATGATGATAAGTAGATGGGGATTGTAAGAGAAAAGAAAAATGGGAAAGGATATGAAGTGAATTCTCAGAAAAGGTAATCCAAAAGCTCCAAATGTGAAGAAATCCTACCTCAAAAGAGAATATCTACCTCAAAAGAAGAAATCCTACCTCAAAAAAGAAATTTGTTTTTTTAACCTGTCAAAGGTTTTTTAACTAGCAAGGAATAGACTGCTAATACACTGTGTTAGTGAAGCTATGGGGAAATGGGCACTTGCATTGCTGGTGCAAACTAAGAAAAAATATATATAAATTTAATTCTAGATATAAATTACAAGTGCACATACTCTGACCACTTACCCTACAGAGAAAATTTATGTACAAAATGACATAAATTTATACAAGGTAATTCATTTCAGCATTATAATAGCAAAAGATTGGAAACAATTTATATGTTCATTAGTAAGGGACAGGTTCCACTGCATACATCCATAATGTACAATCGTTTTAAAAAATGAGAAAGGATTTTATATACTGACAGAAAATGATCTTTAAGATATAGTAAATGGAAAAAAGGTACAGAACAGTATGTATAGTATACTCATTTATATTTTAAAAAGAAATGAAAATATTTATTTATCTACACGGTTAATATCACTGAAAGTTTACATTAGAAACTGATGACATGGTTACCTGAGAAGGGAATCTAAGTGGCTGAAGTACAGGATGGGAGAGAGACTGTTCACTGTGTTCCCTTTTGTATCTCTAGAATCTTATTTCATTCAAAAAATATAAATATAAAATTACTCATTTATTCTCAGATCATCATGGCTTAAGAACCAAACTAAATCTTCTTATATCCCTTCCTAAAATTCAATTAAGAAAACCACCCAATTAAAAAAGTGGGCAAAAGATCTGAAAAGAGATCTCACCAGACATTATGTAGATTCAAATAAACATATAATAAGATGCTCAACATCTTACATCACTATGGAATTGCAAATTAAAACAAGATACTGCTATACACTTATTAGGATAACTAAAATTCAAAACACTGACACCAAATTCTAGCAAGGATGACTTGCTTCAGGAATTCTCACTCATTGCTGGGAGTGCAAAATGGTACAGCCACCTTGGAAGACAGTTTGGAGGTTTCTTACAAAACTAAACAGTCTTACCACATGATCCAGCAATCGTATTCCTTGGTATTTACCCAAATTAGTTGAAATATTATGTATACACAAAAACCTACACATGAATGTTCATAGGAGCTTTATTCTCTTCCTACAAATTTCAAAGATTATTTTCTAATCTGCTGAATTTGGGGTGTGAGGGTAGAGTGGGAACTATTTCTACTACATTAGAACAATTTTCTTTTTTCAAAGCCCCTGGAATTTAGGCCTGCTTCTACTTAGGAAATTATGTCTGGAGATATACCATCTACTCTATAATACAAGTTCTACCAACTGAATGTGAACCCTTTCACATAATTTAGGGAAAACTCTCAAAACGATGGAATGTTTTAAATTATAAAATGAATAAGATGTAATGCAGAGAAAAATCTCCAAATGATAATCTGCTAATAAGGACTGTTTAGGGCAGAGAATGCCAACAGGGTGTGCTGACTACTAATAAACAGGGTCATTGCCTCCGAATGTCATGTAGATTGAAGTAGCTATCTCCTGCTTCTTCCTTCCTGCACTGAAGATGTAGTGAGAAGGATTTAGAACCTTCCACTCCATAGCAGACTCAGTCTCCCTTCCCAGCTGGCAGAATCCTCATTCACTTAGCCATAGTAGAGGGCCAAACATTCTAATTCTACTTAATTCTCTGCTATCAGTGAGTAGTATATCAGATTAGATCACACTCCTCAGCAATTTCCTCTGTGGTATCTACACACTTACTTATCAGAGTTCTCCCTTGCAATTCCTTGAGAAGTAGCTAGCTAAAACTAGATATGGGTAACCTGGCCATATCCAATCCTATTTTTGATAGCTTTACCACAAGATTATAAAGACAAACAGCTCACTGTCATTACTTCTTTCAATAGCAAATGATGACACAACATAGTTTTGTCAAATTTTGGGCGAAAATATGTCTTTTGATTGGATAGAAATAAGTGATTGCTTTTATTTTTTTTGTGCTTTCTATATTTGCCTTATCAGCAATCATTCATTTACTACCTTAAATTATGAGTAATAACTTACTAAATGAAGTACAGAAAAGTACATGAATTCATTAGATGACTTCCCCAGAATGGCGGCCACCTTTTATACTGAGAACTCAGCAACCAGTGTGGTAAGAAGACATACCCCTTCAAGCTTACCTACTACACAACTTTCTAATACTTTTGCTCTCATTCTTTTCCCAAAGATATGTAAATGAAACATCAACTTTAAAATAAAAAGCAAATGAATTCCTCACCAACCCCAATCTCAATAGACCTACAGATTTTTTCCACAGCAAATCTACTGCTAAAAGGAGAAAAGATCACATTCTAATAGATCGTACAGCTACAGACACCAGTTCTGACTGCTTAGTATACATACATAAAAACACATTTCCATCTAAGTAATACTGAAACTATAAAGCTGGTTAATTAAATCATGTTCTTATAGGATGATAAAAACAAACGTAACTAAAAGTTAATCATTTCTTCTTATAATAATATACCAGGACTTTATCTAATAAAAATATATTCATTTGATTCACACACTCCAAAATAAATCCTTTTAGGTAATCTTCAGCCTGAAACAAGCCTTCATTTATTGACTATTTACAATACAGTGATTTTGTATCTTAGCTGCTAATCAAAGATGGTTATATGTTGAGAGAAGACATACTCTCTCTACCAGATATCGCCTCTCAGAAACCTGTGCTAATTCAATTTTAAGAATTAGCATTACATCTCCTGGTAACTACATAGCAGTCGTCACCCTGAGAACAGGAACAAGGCAAAGAAAGTATACAGGACGTTGATTCTCCTACACAGGTGCACATAAAATTAGTTTATTAATGACTACATTTTGAAGCCAGCCATTTTTATCCAATATTTAAATAACGAGCTGTTTTAATATTAAAGCAGAAAGTACTGTCATAATGTGACAGAAGTACAGCTTTATCCATGAACCCTTCACACAATTATACATTAAATGCTATTTTTATTTAAGCAAGGCACCCCTACTTGTTCTAAAATATGGGATGTGCTACCCCACTGAAAAAGCAAATGAGGAGACTGAGATATCTAGAGCTGGTTTAAATTCAAGTGAAGCCATTAATGTCCTTACTAGTCAGGACTGTTTAACATGTCACTTTACAGGTTTGAGACTAACACCCTTACTATTTACCCAAAACCAAAAAAAAGGGGTGGGAGGTATATTAAGACAACTTTTAAGTTGAGACTAGAATTTCTTCAAGTATACAGGCATTAATGTTAAATGCCTTTAGCACAAGGCTGAGAAGGCAAAACATTTCTGAAGATATGAAACGGTCAAATAGTTATTTACACTCACTAACCTGTAGTACTTACTTTTTTGTTTTGACTCTTTTTAATTCCTACCCCTAAGTCATCAAATACACCTAAAATTGTAGCTACTCTGCCAAACCATAATGGTTCAATGGTCTGAAGCCCTTCCTTGCTTTGGTGAGTTTTCAGTTAAAATAAATCAGCATTTTATTTCATAGGAAGTTTTATATCAGAGCTCTTAAACAAGTTCATTTTTAAAATGGGAGAAATATTTTAAAGGACAGTGGTGAATAAAAATACGCAGTCTTTACACTGGATAACACATCCTCTATGAAAACAAACTGTTTAATCGTATAAAATAAAAGACCAGATTTTAAATCAGATCCTAGACAGTTTAAACAAAAATTTAAATTTTGTGGTTTATTTAATCCCAAACTGAATATTTCCTTTTTCTTTCTAAACAGCCCACTATGGAAATTTTTTATAAGCAATTAACCAAAAATCCCAAAATCCTTTCTCTAGCAGTTGCTGCTAAAAATTCAAACTTTATATCCCATGTCCAAGAAAGATGTGCAAATGAAGTGCTTCTTGCTTTATCCTGAAAAAAGAAAAAATGTTGCATATTTACTAATAATGAAAAAGTGTTGCACACCTTCCCATACCATTTAAAATTATAAATTTAATAACTTTCTTTTCTTTCTGATTTCGTGCAACTTTTCTGACAAATCGATTAAGTTAAGGTAAAGAATATTAGTTAGGCATTATTATTTACAGCCTGGTACAAAGATAGGAGATTTTCAAAGTTGAGCACAGAATATATTTTACATAGATTTTAGCTAATATAAATATTTCATATCACAAGATTGTAGGACTTAGGCCCAAAAAATAGCCCATGACAACTATTGTAAAGAAATGCCCCATGTATTTTCAAGAAATCATTACAGTGAAGTGTCTCAAAGGAATGCACCACTACATGTAGAAATGATTACAATAAAACGTTAAAATATATAAAAATGTAATAATGTTATTAAAAGATTTTGTAAGGGGGAAAAAAGACACCACACAACACTGAGTCAAAAGAAAGGAAATTGAGACATATTTAGTAGATTTGTTACAGATAAATTAACCCTATGAAATCACATACTTCCTAGGACAACCATTTTCATAACACCATTTTAGGAAAAGAAACAGTGGTACATTAAGTGTATGTACACCTTGGTTTCAAATGTATCATTTTTAAACATCTTAAAAATATCTCAGAACTGAGGAAATGTGTCTAAATTTTATAGAAGAAAAGCTAACACACGACACATTTCCAGTGTACTATGATTTATAGCTACTGAAAGTGAAAAATTATTTTTAGGCATATAGAATGCAGAATGCTGAGACAGATGAAAAAATATTGCATGGGGAAAATGCTCAAAGCCACTGTACTATCATAATAAATTTTATTTCTCAGGAGAACGTCATCTTTTTATTGATGCTTCAATTACCATGCTTAGTTTCCTCTTTATTAAAAAGAGAACAGTTTCTACCATCCTACAAATTAGTGAACTAATGATTGATTTGTCATTAGTCAAATAATTTCCACAACTGAGTCTCTTAAATTTACCTTATTATCTGGAGTCCTTAGAAGTTTTATTTGTCAAATAATTTGTCAAATGATTTGTCAAATAATATCCACAACTGAATCTCTTAAATTTACCTTATTATCTGGAGTCCTTAGAAGTTTTATTTTCCCTTCGGACATGAATTCAGGAACAATTCAATATACCTATGTTCTGAGAATGACAAAAAAAAAAGATTCATTTCAAAAAGTTGAAAAGGCAGAAATAATATTGTACTAATATTGTAGCCATATTTCTTCTAGTTCAGACAGAAACTCAAACTCTTTGCCCATTCCTTTTCCTAATTAAAATAAGAAACAACAACAAAAATAATAAAAAAAATCCTAACTTGGGAGAGAAATACGCAGGCTAATTAGCAGACAAATAAATGCTTTTCATTATATGTTTCATCCTTTCTACATTTATTTTTAGTACTGAGAGAGCACAATTTTTCCAAAGAAATATTCTAGGCAAAATCCAAAACAGATTTGTGAGCAAAGACAGACAAGCAAAAATGACAATGAAAACCATGGGCAGCACTTACGAACATGGGACCGATCCTTGAGCATAGCTGCAACAGCATCCTCATGGGTATCGAAGTGCACATCAGCTTCTCCAGTGGCCTTCCCACTGGAACTGTATTCCATAGTGATTCTAACAGGCTTCAGTGGAGCAAAAAACTAAACGACAAACAAAGGAAGCCAAAAGGAACATAATCGCACTAGGCCTAATTTCTAGAAGTCTGGTGGCTCTGCATTTTTCTTTCAGACTTTGATTCATACACCGAATAAATTTGTTTTTAAGAAATCTCTTTAAGCAACAAAGTAAGTTACACATCTACCATCTCTTCTGGCTTTTCTGATTTTCTTAGAACTCGAGGTTCATTTCAAATATCTGTTCACAAAGAATTTGTAAATACTATACAAACAGTTCTCGACTTTTTTTATACCAACAAAGACCCGTTTTATTATACTTCCCATACACATCCTTCCTGTTTCTAAAGACTGTCCATCAAATACACTTCATTTCCTAATAATTCATTTTTACCATTTTTTAATTAGACACATACCTGATAACCAGTTTCTTCAGCACTACATAAACAAAGCTACCACACTGAGTGGTTATCATTCCAAACCAAAGCAACAGAATGTAATGCTTTAATGTGACTGCAACCTTCATTGAGGTAAAGTTCTGATACCTATTAGGCTTTCTGAAATAATGAAGACAATGCTGAGGCCCCACTACTAACTGAAGACTCTAGGTTTAGACTTGCCTTAAGTATATGTCCTCAAGTTCATAAAGTCAGTAAGGGCTTTGTTGTTTTGTCTTTTCAGTTACAAAATAAGAATATATTTTTAATTCCTTTTCTCAAAAATTAGGGAATCCTGATGCAGCAAGGCTACAAGCTCTAATGAAAGCTCCAGGCATTAAGGAGTACTGGATTTTTGTCTCGTATATAACTGCTCGGTGAAAAATTCCTTCTGAGTCTGTTTTCTAAACTCGAAACTGAATGGGTTGAATGAATTTAGAAAAAAGCAAAATTTCTTACTTTGAATATTAAACTTATATTGTTTTGCATCCATTACACATTTGACCTTAAAATGTAGTAAAACCCGTACTTCTCAGGTAAAGAAAGAAAAAAGAAGCCCCCACAACCATAGAGATGCCGTCTTACTGTCCAAAGATAATACTGAATTTTTCTTCTTTACGTTCCCCAAATTAATAAAGTTCAATTTTAGAACTTTTGTTTCAATCTATTGAGACTAGATATCTTACTGCCACCCACGTTTATAATATCTTGGGCATTGGCTTGGAAAGGCAATCCTCTCATGTGAACAAAATGTAGTGAAGACGTAGTTCCAAAATCAACAGCCTCTGGAAGCTTTTCTGACATCTCCTTAGGCAATTCTGAGAAGTGGAACAAAAAGTACTGTCAAGAATAGAAAAACTTCAAGAGTAATTAACAGATTGCAATTAGGTATGACCTTTATGTCAAAATCCTCAATTTCTCTTGAACCAGTAAAAAGAAGGGCTTTAATTTTAAAAACCAAATGATATGAAATTTCTGCCACCTTATATCACCTGAACACCCATAAGGATTTAATGTTTCAATCCATTACCAGATTACAAAAGAACATCTTTCTATAAGAACAAAGAGAAGGAAAAATTATTATCGAAAAAATAAAGGCAAGAAAAACTTTCTGGGTTATAAGCACTAAAAAGTAAATAAATAAATAAATATAGTAATGAAATAATCTCAGGGCACCAGTTTAAAAATAATTATCAAACTTCGAAGATTGCGAATGTTGCTTTGGAGTTAGGAATCAAAGAAATAATTACAGAGGCAAACAAAACTCCTCATTTCAGTTAACATTCCTG